TCTCTGGCTGGACTTGTTTCATTACTTCTACTGAACCCTGCTCTCTCTAGGATCATCCTCTGCTACAGTCAGAAATAGCATTAGCATCGGATCACAGGTGCTCAGCGGCAGCACCCTTTTAGCTGCAGGGCTACAAGCAACTATGTCACTGAGACAATCAGTCACCATTTACTTTATGGACTGCAAGCCGCTCCATATCACAGTGAAAACCAAGTGAAGTGTGTGCCCGGTGCTGCCTCAGTCTATGTTTTGTCATCAACGGCTTGTTGAATCTAAATCTGTGTTATCCTACTTTTATTCACGAGGGAGATGCGATCACATATGGCAGCAAGGGGTAAACGTACTACTAGCAGGCAATCACATGGTGTTCTGTGCTTGACAAAAGCCCAGTGCATGTTCAGAGTTTGCAGGTTTGCCAGATGCAGCTCGGTGACATTTGTCCCTAGAGGACACGCATATGGGAACGCATCTGCAGGCAAGATTTGAGAATTGTGACCAATGTGGAAGATTTACCTTAGGAGAAGTAGTCCTAGAATACATTCGCTAACCATATAACCGGCTTCAAGCAACGCTGCCAAAACTTGTCAGGGCTGAAGGGTGTGATTTCTGTAGTCGGAGGGAGAAGAGGGTCAATTTGCTTCCTTTGTGCTCCTGTCTTTACCCGTGGCCGCCCCACACACAGCCATAATTAGCGTGCCATTTTAGCTTCTTGTGCAAAAAAGAACTGTTTTTGTATATGTGACTATAGTGGGCACATTTTTACCTCTTGGCACATGCTTTTATATCTGATGATTCTTTACAATTTATGCGTTGTGTGTGTGTGTGTGTGTTTGTACAGATGCACTTTAAGCTCCCATTCATCACAGCCGGTGCCAGGCTATAGCTGTAGATTAATCTGCTTCAGCCCAACACTGCTGCTCACCCACCACTCATTAATCTAAATCCCCGGGACAATGTGTTTGTGTGTGATTCTGTAAAGTATGTGTGTATACATGTGTGACTCATATTTGACTTGGGTATGAAAATCCATTCAGAACAATGTGTAAAATGCATGTTTTTTTAAGTATAGCACTCCATAAAATACAAATGCTTGGATGTGAATCAATGAATTTGGTGGAGGAGAGACCGTTTTTAGAATTCAGGGAAAGCACCAGCTCTTCTTCTTTGATCTACAAACCATCTTATAGAAAGAGTGGAAGACATTATTTACCTCATTCCAGGGCGAGCAGAAAAGCATGGTAGTCAAGATGCTACCTGAATAGGAAAGTGACAGTGAGGAAGGGGGTAGCTTGGGAGGCATGACAAAAAGGATGAAGGGTGTCGAGGTACAGTATTTTATTGCTGTATTTTCATAACATAGCTAGACTGGAATGTGGGTTAGTTTGTAGGACAGTATTTTCCCAACCCACCTATTTATATCCACATTTTCAATTCAGGAGAAGATTGAAACCCGTTTTTTTTTTAACACACCCTGACATTGCGGTACAGGCTTCTTCTACTGTAGAAAAAAATGGCTCATTCTGCCACTCAAGAATCCCTGCAGCTAACCAGAAAGCCACCAAAATACAGAATCATAAGGGCAGAGTTTTCCCTCTATGACACTCCATTACCTGATTAAAAGCACTTCAGAGTATACTTTGATCAAAAGCTCCACCTGATGGCAGCAATGAAATACCAAAAAGTAAATCAGGATCATAGCAAATGATTGAGCTGACCCAGTAAACATGGTGGACACACTTTCAACTGAGTCTTGTCAAACAGAGAAATGTTGTTTTTGTTTTTTATGAATAATACCATTCTGGTCCAATTTTGCAACTCATTTGAACGGCACATTCATGACTAGAAGTAAAGAGAACTCGAAAATGTATTTTGTGCAGTTGAACTTCTTTGATGATTTATTTAGCTAAAATTGGAAAATGCCCAAAAGTATTGCCAATATTGGAAAAAACTGAGGGCTTCACATGCTTGGCTTGTCCTCTCTGCTCTCTCTGAGTAAACAGCCTGCAGTTCAGCTGAAGTTTCACTAAGTTAATTGCACTAGACTGTGGGTCTCAGCGGAGTTATTCATGGCTTCCCCTTGCTCTGAGGAGCACACAATGAAATATTTGGAATACAACTATTTTGAAGAAATATCAAAATGTTTAGCCTAGATTTGGTAATAATTCTTGAGTGTCAAGTGCCATTTGAAATCAAAAATCCTTGCCATCAATTCTGTTTTTAGAATGTCTGGTTATAATTAAATGGTGTGGTTCTGTACTACTTGTAATGTGGTCTTTCTACTGGTAAAATATCCAACGTGTGCCGAAATTCAATAAGCCTAGCATTTCAAAGGACATTTTGTGAAAGCGGAGCTTTGCCGAGAAGACAAGAGAAGAGATTCTGTCAGCTGTCATGGAGATGAGAGAAATCTGAATCCAATCAATACTCTGACATACAAGGAGTTGTAGTGACAGGACCACAGAGTAAGTGGATGGAATACAAAACAAAAATGTGCACAGATCAAGAGGCCTACTTTAACTTCTCTGCTGTAAAAGGAGGGGTGGACAGAGTGAGCGTGTAAAATACATGTTTAGGGTCAAGAGTTAAGGATTTTCTGACATGTCTTCTTTTGCCATTGTCTTTTTTGTGTCTACCTGCCACATGAAATGAGGCCACCATGCCGTCATAGTGCTGTAAACTCGTGGAATTACCCATGCAGTAAGCTGACATAATATTGTTGTACGACCACACAGCCTTGTCATGGTCTTTTTGTCATTCGAGATGCCTTTTACAGCTGATTCAATATTTTTCTATAATTTCGTTCAACTTTTCTTCGAGTATCTCTCCCTCTCTTTCCTCATTTATTTCCTCTTGACCAATTTCCTCCTCCGTCCTCTCCTCATGGCCATGCTACACTGCTCAGTGTATTAATTGTGGTTTGAAGGATCCCCGGCTGAGGCTTGGTGGGATTGTCCAAGCCAATGACTCAGAACTGCAGGGCGAGGCAGTGAAAGCTTGGACTCCTTACAGAAGCTGTTCCACACCGCTGATACGGCACCTTGGCATCCACCGCCCAGAACTGGCAGTTTGTTCGCTGTCACCGACCAGCTCCTTTTATTCGAGTCATCCACCTGCCCACATTAATACACTTCTTGTTAAAAGCTGTTAGGGGATAAGGCCTAAGGTAATCTACAGGAAAACTTTTTTATTGAATAAAACATTAATGACCAATTCTAACTGACAGGTTTCATTCATTCTGATTTTCTGTTTTGGTGTCCTGGAAGCCTGGGTCCCTTTAATAAAAAATAAAAAGTAGATTTCTAAACTGGTGACACGTTTCTAAAGTCCACAGCTGCAAATGATACATATTCCAGCTAAAAGTTGATAAACGAAAAGTTCAACATTTTGGTGTACACTCTTAGTTGGCTTCTTGCCAAATATAAGATGAAGAAGATTGATTCTGCTCAAACGTCTCTACAGAAAGTATGCCATGATACATTGCTAAGAAAATATGCTGTTTGAACCCTTTGAGAGCTGTGTTGTATCTCCTATACTCCCGTTATTTAAGATAGACATTACTGAAGCAGAGCAAAAGTGAACCTCTGTTGCCATGCCGATCTATCTTTGGTTACAGAATGAGGTGCCAAGTGATGGTTGGTCAATATTTATAGACTCATAACAGCATGCATACCACGGTATTCTTCAGTCAATTTGTACGTCTTCCTTTTCCCCCCAACTTTTCCACCCTCCGCCCCACATTCGATTCATCAGTCCTCTATTTCTTTCCAACTCACTAATCTCATTCTTCCCATCTTGCCATTTAAATATGGTATTTTCTCTACTAAACTTTTATGACTCTACTTTGCTCCCCAGTTTGAATGTAATGGGTACATCGAGCGGCATTTTGCGTTGAAGCATCTCAACTGTGCTTCACATTTTAGCACCCATCACGCCGTACACCTAGCAAGGAGTTGCTTTTGTTAAATCGGGAAAATTGGCCCAACACAGTCAAGATTATACCACCAACACTCACAGGGTACTTAGCTTTCCAAACTGCTCCCTTTTGTGCTATGATAGCAACATGGTAGTGTTGTTGAGAAAACAAAAAAACAAGAGAGAAAATGTTAGAGAACACTGTGATAGAATAGAATATAATATATCTTTATTGTCATCATACAAAGTACAACGACATTTCTTTGGCAACTCTCACTGCAGTAAAAAATAGACACAATAAATAAATAAGAGTGGTAAAAGCAGAGGTAGTAGCGATGATAGTGCAACGAGATAATGTTTACACTTACAGTCTAAATACATATTAGTAAAATAGCCATAAGTATGTCTAAATAGTAGTGCTTGCTGACTCAACGAGCCAATCAGGACGGATCTTTGCCCTAGGCTTGAACCCAATCAGAGCCAGTTTCTTGCCAAGGGTGTCATCAGGACAAAAGAGTTAAGGGAGCTCCCGGAGTCCAACCTAACGCCTAGTAATTAGCCTGAATATCTTCCTATCTGCTTACCATCCCACATGCTACAAAGGCACTCGTAACAAGCGTTAATAATTACGCCATACTCGACCAAAATCCCCCTCATCGACACTGATTGGATGATTTAAATTATGGATTTTATACAAGGCTGTGTGTAAGGAAGGAGCTGTAAGGGATTATTGCTCAAGGGACATACATTACAGATATTTATGGGAACCCGTGTTGCGGTTCGGGAGACTGTGCTTCACATTGAGTTATGCTGTGCGTAACACTAATTCACATACACATAATGGGCAAAGGTTTTTTATAAACCCTTAGCTTTTATGTCAAAAACATGTTGCAGCCTTGAAAAGGTAAGCTATCAACTTACACTGCAAAGTTAGTGCTGCTGTAATTTCTCGAGTTTGTTTGTGTGCTCTCTGTTCCTACTCTGCTATAAATGCTTTATCCTTACCCTTTTAGAGTGTCTCTAGCTGTGCATATTTAATCCCACTCCTTCTGTCTCTTAACCTTCAGACTTTTTTTCTTCCTGCTCAGGGCGAGCTCTGATGAGATTGACAGACAGAAAGCTGGAAAGAATGGGCATCATGCAGGAAGCCCAGAGGCAGCACATCCTGCAGCAGGTCCTGCAGCTCCGCGTCCGCGAGGAAGTCCGGACCCTTCAACTCCTCACACAAGGTACAGCACCCGTTCCCCCCCTGTGAATCTCAGTCCATCATTAAATACATAAAAAACAATGTATACATTTCACCATCATAATATTTGTCTAATTTTGCATAATCATTTGATTACACCAGCTTCAAAACAACACAGGGTTATAAGAGCACGTACTGTATCTGGTTCTCTCGCGGGTAAATATTATTCACAAGGACACAGACATCTCACATTCTGATAAATATTCAAACCATTTACTGTGAAGCATTTATGTGCATGCCATCTGTAGTCATGGCAATCACTGCATGTTTTAAAGCTCACAGGAAGTGGTGAATCAGAAATGATTATGCAACTCCAAGAGTCATGGACAGATTTGCCTTCTTTGGGTATCTTTATGTAAAGTGATCACAGAACGGTCATTATATATGCAAACGTCTCAATGGTATCCGCAGCTATCCTGCTGTGATTTAAAACGCTGAAATCTTGCAGTGAAGTCAATTCATTTCAATGGAATCTCAAAACATTTGTCTGCACGAATGGTTTCTGTAGAGTTCAACTTTGATGAACACTTACATGTTGGTCTCTGATTGCCAAAGGGGAACAAACAAAAAGCTATTTTGGCTTATTTAATTCTGGATAAAAAACATCTCCACAAAAGAACAGTGGTTTACAGATGGCTATGAGAGAGGAGTCCCGTTGGCAAAGGAGCTAATCTTACTTGTTAGCTCAGAGGGCTTTATTTTCCGGCTGTTTTATTCAATTAAATGTTTTACAATTGTAAACATTACCAGGGGAAATTAAACAGAACAGTTCAAATAAGCTACAGGAGCTTTTGGGCTGCGAGGCAAGTCAACCCACTTAGCTTGCCGGCTACAGGAGTTCATCAACTATCCTTTTGTGTAGTTAAATGTGACTGCTGCTTTAAAAGTAGACTGTGGAGGGTTTTTTAATTCTTTTAAACCCAACAAAGTAGTGATTACATTTGCCTATCACCTACAGTAGCTGTTGTTCAGAAGAGAATGCTGTTGTGTGAAGCTTTAGCGCTGCAGTACTGGAATAAAGATAATAACTTTCCAACAAACCATTATAATCATAATTTGAACATGTTGTCTATTCACACAAGATAAAAATATACTCATCAAAGTGATTTAAATGTAGCGTGTATTGAATTTGACCTTTAAACAAAGACACATGTAATTGGCTCCGGCACTATCCAGCTCCCCTCTATTAACTTTTCTGTATTTAATTGACAGAATTTGCATTTCATTATAACACGTTTGTTTTCTGTTACACAAGGGACCACCATCATATGTTCCTATATATGGCACATCTGCGGTTTTCCCCTTTGGCCTTATATCTTTACTGTCAACACTTCTCACTTTGCTCAATGCATCCTCTGTAGCTTGTTTCCTAACAACAGCGGCCGCATCCTCTCCTCGCTCTCTCCGTCTCACCCCGTGATTCTCAGCTCTCGTATTCTCTTCCTCAGCACTTCCAGCAGCCGCCCTCCTCCATCACCTCTTCCAGCAGCAGCCCGTCTGCCCACAGACTCTCAAGCAGGGCTCTGCCGCAGGGGCTGAGAAACAAATTGTAGGGATCTTTGTCACTCTGCGAAATTCTTGGAAAACATTTGGAGTGTAATAAAGCAGCTCCTATCCCCCGCTGCTGTTTTGGTCCCCTATAGCAAGTGGGAAATAGAAAGAGAAAGAGAGTGCAATTGAGAGTTTAGCTGAGTGATGACACTTTGCTGAGGGCTACTCTCAGCCTTCTCGTGGTTTCTTTGCCGCTCTTTTTCTCCTCTCCTCACCTCTGTATTGATGATATGGGAAGCGACGGCTCACCTTGCCTCAGCAGCTTTAGGCGGCTGGCCTCAGAAGGAAGCAGCCTGTTAGTGGAGGCTACTTGTGCCTCGGGGAAAGAAAAGTGGTTGATGAAGGGAATATGGAAATGTAAACAAAAGGATGTGGATGAAGAGGGATGTATATGTTTTGAGTTCAGGAAATTGGATGTACATGCTGTTTTGCATGTGATTAATTATGTATAAACGCCTAAGAATCCTCACAGGAAGTAATAATTCATTATAAGGGAGGAAATGGTCTTGGAATTGAACACATTCACTCAGATATAAACAACTTTTATTTGATATTGGGTTGTTTTTTTTTGTTGTTTTTTTTATCATCACCATTGTTTAACTGAAAGTAACACATGTGGAGCAGTGAGAAAAGGAAGAGCAATTAAACCAGAGGTATTTCAAGTATCCTGAGCTGTTGCTTCCAGAGTTGCTTTTGGCAGGTAGCGAGAAATTGGAAGGAGAAGAAATGGTGGAGTATTTCCAGGCCCAAGGCGCACTTTCTCAACTCTTGCTAGAGGGAAATACAGCTGTAACCGGCAGGAAGCTGAGCCAGAAAGAGAAAGAAGTGAAGTGGAAGGTAGGAGTAGCGGCGATGAGATGATGAAGAGAAAGAAAGGAAGAGGAGGTAAAGTGAGAAGAGTTGGGGAAGAGAGAGACAGTAAGTGACAAAAAGGTATGATGAGGGAGTAAAGGAGATAGAGGCGGTGAGAAGATGGAGAGAATGGAAAGTGAGAAAGAGACGAGGTGAGAAAAGGAAACCCTTACAGTATATTACTCTACCCTCCCTCTGACGCCTGATGGAACACAAATGTATTTCTGTATTTACGAAATATTTATGTATTAAATAGTCTATAAATATACTGCAAGCACTCATATAAAAGCCAGAATTCAATAACAGTTTGTATTGATTATTCCACCTTGAGTTACCTTTGTTCACTTGCCATAGTTTAACACTTCCTGTACATGTTTCACATTAAAAGGCTCCCATGCCTTTTTGCCATGGATGAGCCCCCAGGCTTGAATGTGAAACATGTCGTTAGGAAATCTTTTTTTCTTGGCAGGAGGTGTTCCGTTAAGTGTCTAAATAAGGACAAAAAAATGGCTTAAGTTTAACCGACGAGAATTAAAGAAGCATTTCTCCTAAAACATTGCAAGTGGTGATGGTACTGTATAGGGAGTGTTGATGGAAGTAGTGGAATTATACTAAGTTTATCAAGAGAGCAGGTACACATTATCTGGCAAAGTAAAGTCCCCAGGCATTGACAGGAAATATGTCTATATGAGAGCGATCAGAGGGGCACCATCTATATAGGAAGACAAACATGATGGAGCAGACAGAAAGAGCGAGGGAAGCGTCTATAGATGTATAAAGAGAGAGGTGCAGAACAGAGCGCTGGAGCGAGAAAGGTGCACAATGGAGAGAAATGTGAGAGCAGGAGAGGGAGCGAGGTGTTGTAATTACTGCAGTGTACCCAGACAGAATTAGCTAGACGGACAGTGATTAACCTTTAAGGCTTGCTGGGCCATGGGAGGGAAATAATTAGATTTCCCCTGTCTCTTTCTCTCTCTCTGTCTCCCTGTGCCACGGGGACAGCTGAGAGTGGATGCTCATCGCTTATTGCTTACAGTCAACAGAGGTGGACAGAGGGGCTCCAAATAGAAAGTGATACCCAAACAACAGCGGCCTCTGAGTGTCCACCTGATGGGGGCCCTTTGGAGTCAGGGTGCTTAGATCCACCGTTCCCTTAAACCTCTTCTTAATGATGACATGAGTACTCTAGCTGTAGGGAGAGTGACAAAAAAAGAGCGTGATAAAGAAGTTGAAATATTGCTTACCTTCTCATCTTTGCCCAATCACTGCAAACATGCTCGTCAGTTTCAAAAAGGCTGGGTGGAGATGGTTTCAGACGTCGTTCGACAATCTAAAAAGCAATCTGAAGCACGCTGACCCACTTAGTTCGACAATATACGTGATTATATAAATCAAGTACAGCTTTGGACACTAATTGCACGTGACATCAGTATTGCTGTTAACATTGTTTGCGCCTAGTATCTTGACATAATAATGGCAAATAGTGAACAAGCTTCATAAATGAACAAAGCAAACACATCGGAAAACTTTGCTCGCTTTTTCTCATTAGCATAACAACTTGTATACTCTTGAAAGGAAAAATGCTCCACATATTCTTAATAACTTTATTATAAAATAACATTCAACATTTTGTAAGGAGTTTTGTGACAAAGTAGTCTGATAGAAGTCATTGTTTTTGTTTTTTCGAATTAAAGTGGTTGAAAGCCAATTATTTATTGAAAATATATTGAAAGTATGCCTAAAGATAAGACACACACACATACACACTTACACACACAGAAACGGCATCAATGTCATCAGCTGAAAACAGTTTTTCTAAATGAAATGACATTATTTAAGAAATGATAATCAAAGACATTTGTGTTGCTTTTACAAATCTAACTGACTTCGCGATAATGACCTGCCTTCCGTTTCAACCATACTCCTTCCGTTTCCACTATACTTTCTCTCACACATACATGCATTCTTCTCTTGCATACATATATTGTCTTCAGACATGCATATATTATTTATAATATTAAATGTAAACATTGAATGAATGTGCATGAGAGCAAAATGTATAAATATGAGCATTAAAATATATGAATATGAGAGCAAAATGTGTGAGTGAAAAATGTATAAATATGTGAGTGACAATGTATGAATGTGTGCATGCATTGAAATATGATAATATGAGAGCAGAATGTTTGAATATGAGTGTAAATATATACGTGTGAGAGTGAAAATGTATGTATGTAAAAGGAGAATGTATGTGCGTGAGAGGACCAGTATGAATTACGGCCTGTACGGCCCCTCATACAAAAGGGAGGAAATGAAAGGAACAGATCAAATCAGAAAAAGTATTTTAGAAATGGTCTTTTCTTATGTAAAATATGAAAAGGAAGGACATTTAATAAAACATCAACACATAAAGGAAAACTGAGCATTCGAGTGCGATACAGGTGGAAGTCAGTATTTTCACTCGTAAATGTCTGAGTCAGAGACAAACATGTTAGTCGCACAGTTAATATTTGTATTTAATATCCATAGAAACAAAAATGGAGAGGGCAGGGTGTTAAGCAAACATATCTTGCTCTTTTCTGGCAAATAAGTTATGGTTTTATATTAACCCCTCTGACAGCTTCAAATGTAGGCTTTGAAACTACAAGAAAGGGGGAATGAGAATGTTATGATTAATTATGTTGTTTTCCTGATAATGGCATTTCTCCATTCACATACAGTAGTTGTGTGTACAGGCCTGTTGTGACTGCACTGAATCTCCCTGAATTAACTTGTATACAAAGATTGGAAGCCGTTAAGCCGCCGCAATTCTCCACTCCTCATATAAAAAAAAATCTCATTTCACTCTTCTTCTGTATTCAATTTCATGCTTATAACCATTTGAGAGTTTTTTCACTAACAGTCCGATGCCAGTAAATATGCTATTACTGGCTTGTGAAATCATCACTCTTAAAGAAACTTGAATTACACAGCTGACAGAGCTCTATGAAAGAGGTTTTCTGAGTACATCGCGCTAATCTGTGAATGTAGACACAGGCTCTCTGTTTATGCTTCATTTACTCTAACAAAGTTTCATTTAAAGGAGAATCCAAGGAAACTATGAAATAAATTAGACATGGATGCTCTACAGTTTTTTTTTCTTAGTTTGTGTGAAGTTTGTTTGTTTGCTCCAATCCAGGTTTGACTTGTTCTAGTATTTCTGAGTTGTTAAACAGGTACCTTTCATGTAAATGATGGCAGTGCTGCTGCCAATCAATCGGATCAATTGTAAAACCAAACATTAAAGATCTAATGAATAATAAAGAACCCTTCTGTGAGCGTCTAGGTAGTTTTTTCTACATAGTGTCGGCGTTATTTGTGATTTAAAATCTGCCTCAAGATTACAATAGCGCTGCAGTCGTTGTTTAAGCATAATTCTCAGACACAATAGTCTACATTACTTATTCAAGTCTTAGGGTGAAAAAGTTCAAAACCACTTTTAGTAGGGGACTGCGTCCCCGAGGCAGTAAATGAAGGAAGCTTTCCTGTTGTGCTTTAGTAGACCCCGGTTCCTTTGCTCCAGGCACCTTAATGAATTATCTCTCTCCGCTTTATGGCTTTATAAAGGAAATCTCTTCAGTCGGAGAGCTTCTCAGAACAGGATGTCCTTTTCTAAGTTTATAACTAGTTCAACATGTTAAGTTTACTGCCTGATGATCCAGAGAAACTTGACGGAGCTAAACTCCGAAAAAAGGCAAACATTGGGGCTGTACGTTTCCCACTAGTATACTAGATTAACACTTAAAGGTCACCTATCATGCTATTTTTAGGCAATAGCATAGGTCTCAGCTATATAAAAATATATATAAAACTTGTCTATGAAGTGTTTTGCTCAAAATACCAAACAGATCACCCATTCTAGCCATGCCTCATATCCCTCTATTTCACTTCCTGTTTCAAAAGTGCTGATTTTGGGTATAAAGCTTTAAAAAAATGAATAAAATAAAAAAAATGATAAAAAAAAAAGAGGGGCAGAGTTTTTGCGGGAGATTCTACCGGCAGATACTGCCGTGATGAAACGACATATCATGGATTATCAAGGATTATTTCTGAAACAGTATGGAGCTCAAAGGCTTTCTCTCTTGCCGGTTATACCACAAGGTGAGTTCCTTTTTATTTCCTGCTTCTTCACGCACATACTCTCTCCAGTACAGGTTAGCTCTGAGTGTTAGCGATGCTAATGTAAACACCGACCATATTACGTCCAAAAACAGTCGGGCATTGTTTCTGATAGCAACGTTTCTGATAGTCTGCATTGCCGATATTACGTCATATCGGACGCAAATCTGGATCAGCTCCGTTGTACCCCCGTTTTTAGAGATTTGGGTACGGAGGAAAAGAGAGAGGGTTTTATTTTCTGACACTGCGTGAGTTCCCTGATACACCGGGGACACATATTTATGTATAAAAGACATCAAAAAGTGCATCTTGCATGATAGGTCCCCTTTAATTTTACAGACTTCTGATTGGTTGATAACAAGACACCAAATCGATAACATTGTAATGCCAACAGGCCTGAACAGAGGTCATTGTTAGCCTGCCTCAATAGAAAGGAGCTGGGTGAACATGTTCAAGGCATGTCTGCTTTAGCTTTTTACTCCCAAACTATACGTGATAAGTCCAATTAAATACACTATTTTCTTTTAAGATTTCTTATAAGGTTTTCAAGTCCATTGCACTTCAGACACACCAAAGTGATGACAAGGTATACCGAAACACTGTAAAGTATATTAGACAAAGGTACCTGCAGTAAAAACAAAGAAAACACTTAAACATTCAAAAGAGCAGTTTTTTTGTCAAGTGCACACATGATAAAGTAACTACATTATAAGGTTAATGTTTGCTCAGCTTGTTTCCCTGATAAGTTAAAAGTTTCAGTTTTGTATTACCAGGAGCCTAATTATCCGCAGGGATGTCTTGCCTTCCAAAACAAACAGACCCAGGATACAAAAAATAAATAAGGTCAAACGAGGTAAACATTGGCTCAGCTTGTTTCTCCGAAAAAAATCATCCAATGACTAAAACCCTTCATCTGGTTAAATGTACTTTAAAAATAACCCAGAACTAACAACTGTATTTGAAAAAAGTTGGTTTAAAGTGGATAAAAAGTCATGTATTAACAGTTTATGGCACATTACCTAAACGCAAATTGGTCACAATTACAGGCAAATTGATGAATAAACCTGTTTTTCTCAATGTTTGAAAATAGTTGGAAACATTTGGAATAATGTAAGAGAAGAATGCAATAAAATATATTATATTTTATACCTTTTTAAAACCTTTATAATACATACTGTATCTTACTCTTGAAGTCTGACTGAACAGTTTTTATGAGCAAAAGTGTATCGTACCAGGACATTATGGGCAAATAGATAATTTTTACTCTGAAGTCTTTATTGAAACCATTTGCTCTGAAGTCTTAAGCAGCTGAGGGGTTACTACTGTCCTTCCTTTGGGCTCTCAGTCACATGTCCTGTGTGTTGGAAGCTGAGAGCCTATTATCCAAGCTCTCTCCTAAGGATCCTCTCCTCTGTGGAGGCACTTCCTCCTTAAACCTTACTTGACTCCATCTATCCACCCTCCCCTCTATCTCCCCTCTTTCTCTCCCTCCCTCTCTTTTTCTTGCTGCAAGCGAAGGTCAAATTAATTCTTTTTCATAATTTCCTGTCAGCGATATTCCTTCCTCAGAGACTCCCATCTATGGCCCAGTGCCTGGAAGATGTGATTAAGGTAAAAACCAAGTGAATACCTGTGTCTGTAAAAAGGGAATTATGTATTTTTGCCCTTATCCATATAGATATAAGTTGCACTGTAATATAAAATGTAATAAAGTCTCTCTCACAGTGTTACACTTCTTTAAAAATGAATGCAAAGCCAATGCTGTGGGTGACTCGCTACATTAGGAGCTAATGTTGGGCTCGTACTCACAAAGGAAATGTCATTTAGAACAGCTTCACTGCTCCGACGACTCGGTGTGCCCAGACCTTGCTCATTAATGCTGTGGGTCTCAAAGCCTAAATGCAGACATCCACAACATCACTACACACCTCAGAATGTAATAATGTTATGAAATACAAAGAGTAATTGCGTCCCCTGTTGTGAAAGCAAAGGTTCTTTTCATTAAGGCTTGAATTGAAACTGGCCGTGGTAACGAAGGTAGAGCAGACACCCCATAGTTTACATGGCATTCATTCAATCAGTAAATGGAGTCCAGTTATACTTTCAAATAAGAAGGGAGGGAGAGAGGAAGGAAAAGACAAAGAAAATGAGCATAACTAATGCAGCATCTTGAATAGAGTCCCCCCCCTTCTCTTATATTCTCAAGCTATAATTCTCCTTGACATCCAGTGAAGACTCCCTGCTCAGGGCCTCCAATTACAGACTCTCACTCCAAGCGTTTCACACTGGACTGCCAGTCCGCCATTTCATTTTTTTTCTAAAGTGAAATAAAGCAGAGAGAGAGAGAGAGTTGAGCAACGTCAAGGTTAGGCGAAGCACATTTCATCTAGTTGTACCCAGGGACAAGCAAAAGAGATGCACGAATATACAACAAACCCACTCTTATCTCCAACTCTAGCTCTCAAGGACAGAAGAGCAGGATGCAGCCGTCAGAACAGCATGTGCACATCTCTTAATGAAGCTGAATTCAACAAAAGATGTGAGGGAGTGGAAGACGTGAGAGAATAGAGAAGGAATAAAGGGAGATAATGAAGAAAGATAAACAGAGAGACAGAGGAATAGAAGGTGCACAGGTGGAATAGCTGGAGGCACAGCACCGGCACTCCAGTCGTATTGGATATGTTGCTTGGGAAAGCGCCGTCTCCTGGCCTTTGACCCCTGGCGGAGGGAAACAGATTGCTTTGACAGGTCCACTGACATCACATGAGAGGTTTTGCTCTTTTGCCAGAGTCTCTGGAGG